ACATTGTACCCACCAAGCAATCTTCCATTATCTCCTCACTCCCACTCCCCTAACCTCAGTATTGTTTTTAAAGATCTAAAAATTATTTTCCTATATTACTTGGAAAACAGTTTTTCTTCTAAGCAATAAAGGAACACTATTAAATCATTAAAGGAAGATACTTTTTCCAATTTGAATGATGATTATTGCCCTAATGTGGTTATTTTTAAATATGCTGGTTGTGTTAAATCTGGTAAATACAATTGGAAAAGAGAAAAATAGGAAATTTATTATGTATCTACTTCTGAGCAATAACTTCTCTGAACTTAAATACTGCAGATTGATCCAGTCTCATTGCTTTCCATTCTCACTAATCTAGTATGGCGGCGCAGATGTTCAGGAGTCAAATAGGATCAGAAAGTGCTAAGAACTCAATCAAGAATACAGGCCAGCATGGTGGCTCACATCTGTGATCCCAGTACTTTGGGAGGCCGAGGATCACTTGAGGCCAGGAGATCGAGACTAGCCCAGGCAACACAGCGAGACCCCCATTACTAGAAAAAAAAATTTTTTTTTAATTAGCTGAGTGGGGCAGTGCATGCCAGCTACTCAGGAGGCTGAGACAGGAGGATCCTTTGAGTCCAGTAGTTTGAGGTTGCAGTGAGCTATGACTACCCCACCGCACTACACCCTAGGTGAAAGAGAGAAACCCTGTCTCTTAAAAAAAAAACAAAACAATGAATACAGATGTTAATAGGGATATTAGAAGAATTGGCTCCTAAATTACTACAAACAGATTATGTACCAACTCTTCTCACTTATGAAGCCCTTGGTTTAGGCCAAACACCAGAATAGTGACAAAGGAAAGAGTTCAACCTCATAGTCTATTCAGTTTTTGTCTTTTACTATTTCATCAGTTCACAACTACCAATATTCATAAAATCTGTGCCACTGGCAAATGCTACCAAGTCCAACAGGAAATCAAAGTATGTAGTGAGAGTGATTAGCTGAGTTTTTTTTTTTTTTTAACAAAGTTACTCAAGGAATAACTAGGAAAGAAAAATCAATGTTCTTTTTTTTTTCTTCCCTCTCACTTCCTCTCTCTTTGAAAATAAATGTTCTATTACTTTAAAGAATTTTCACAACCATAAAAGATAATAGAAAATGTGTAGCCTGTTTTTGGGGGAAAAAAAAAAAAAGAAGGTTACTATAAACATCTATAATCCCAAAAGTTTGTATCTACAAAAAAAGGAATTAAAATGGAATATGGTTAGTTATCAAGAGAAGAATGCTTGAAAAGCTGGGGCAAACTACATGGCTGTATTAGTACTTACCTGTTGAATGATTTTGGAAGTTTTCTGAAGATTCTCTCTGGGAGGGACTTTACCAAATAATTTCCAACCAGGAGCACTATGGACAACTGATTTGAGTTCCTTTGTCCTTTTTGGAAAAAGGTTTCTGAAACACAGAAAAGTTACATGAATTGTGTTTTTTGTAGCCAGAGAGATATTTAACAACACTTTTTTTTGTTTGTTTTTGAGGTAAGATTTCTGTTTTCTGGGCTAGAGTGCAGTGGCATCATCATAGCTCATTGCAACCTCAAACTCCTGGGCTCAAGTGACCTTCCTGCCTCAGCCACCTGAGTAGCTAGGACTACAGGCATGCACCACCATGCCTGCTTAATTTTC